AGACCAGTCACTGCTGCTCTCCCTCCTTGTGCAGGGTGACTGGTCTTGTCTCCGCCCCCTCCTGTAATAAAGACTGGTCACTGATGCTCTCACTCCTTGTGCAGGGTGACTGGTCTTGTCTCCGCCCCCTCCTGTAATTGAGAGGGGGCAGGGAAACCAGCTCCTCTGTATTCCACATGATATGGTGGAAATGCTCCATGAGCCCCCCTGTGTGCACGCTCCCAGCCAGGACTAGAGCCCCATGAGAAGACACGATTGGGGGGGAATTGACCAAATCTGGAGGACAGAATGTGGATCAGTTGCCCAGAGAATCCCAAGATCTACATTATCCTGATCTGCTTCCGATGATACCATTCCGGGGATCCCGCACTCCGGAATCCCATTCTGCTACAAGAACTCAATCCGGCCGTCCAGGTCCTCCCCACAGGACAGTTGGCCCCCTATGTATGTCAGCTGACGCCCCTCCAGCCAATCACAGCCTGATAACCATACGTTTGGTTTCCTCGTGCACAGACTGTCCTCCGATTATTGGGAGTCACTGCCGTCCGATCCTGGAGGTTTTCCTGTAAGCCGATTACTTCCTGATCTTTGAGGCCAGAAGGTCGCGGGGTGACACGGGTAAGCCGCCGCCCATACTGACCAGCTGGCCGGCGGCTCTGTGTGCAGCACGTGCGGAGCCGGAGCAACCCCACCATCTGCTGTGATTGTAAAGGGCGCCCGTCACTGGGGAGGCCGTCTGGTCATAACGGCGGTCGTGTGGCCGTCGGAGCCGAGTCACTGGCCCAGAAGGGAAAGGTCACTTAAGACTCGTTCACACAGCCCACGTGCTAAACTGACTGGCATTGATCAGGTGCAGAAAAGCGCCAATCACTGCACATGGCGTCGGCGGATCTTTAATGTCTGCGTGTGTCTCTGGTATGCCAAATGTCCTAGTCACGTCTCTCCGATTTATTACAGGTATGTATACGGTGCCGGCAATCTACTCAGTGCCCGTTCATATCATTCCCTGCCTCCTATTGTACATACGTACGAGGGCCGATTAACCTTCCAGCGTGTCTTTGGGGTGTGGGAGGAACCCAGAGGACCTGGAGGACACCCACGCAGGCTCAGGGAGAACATGCAAACGCCTCGCAGATACGACCAGAGCGCACTATCCAGAGATAGAAGTTCAGAAGTTATTGCAACTTGCAGCAAATCCAGTGTGACGGCAAATGCCAGCACCGCGAACCCCCAGCCAGCTACAGCCTGGTGATGGGGAGTCCTGATGGCGGCTAGGGAATCGGAGCCGTGAGATTTCTTTAGGTCCTTGCAGATAGTGACCTCACCGGGATTCAAACCGGGGGCCCCCCAGGGCTGCGTGGCAGAGTCTCAAATCATTTGGCAGATGTCTGTGATGGATTTCTTGTTCTAGTTCAGTTTTCATTTTGACATTTTTGTTGTTAGTTGATGCAGAGAAAGCAAACAAACCGTATCTGCAGCACCCCCTACGCTTCTGGTCTGCTGTTGGGAGTGCAAGGTCATGGCGGAACAGAAAAGGGTCTTCACCAAACTGGTCACACCATCTCTTTATGGAGCTGGCTTTGTACACAGGGGACAGTCATGGGGGAACAGAAAAGGGTCTTCACCAAACTGGTCACACCATCTCTTTATGGAGCTGGCTTTGTACACAGGGGACAGTCATGGGGGAACAGAAAAGGGTCTTCACCAAACTGGTCACACCATCTCTTTATGGAGCTGGCTTTGTACACAGGGGACAGTCATGGGGGAACAGAAAAGGGTCTTCACCAAACTGTGACCACAAGACTGGAGGAGCCCAATTGTCTACGATGTCTTTGTATGATGGAGGATTACCAGAACCTTCACTGGAGACACCTGAACGCCAAGATTTGGAGGGAGCTCCTCATACACATCACCAAACTGTGACCACGAGGCTGGAAGAGCACAATTGTCTATAGGGATGCACCGATACCCATACTAGTATTGGTGCCGATGCCGAGTATTTGGGCAAGTACTCATACTCACCCAAATGCACCGATGCCTAGCCCGATTCTTGCGTTATCAGGAAGCCGGGCAGCCAGCTCCATGCTCCCTCATCACTGGGCAGCGTGTAATAACGCGGCGCCCGGTCTTCTGATTGGCCGGGAAGCCAACTTTATGCTCCCTTGTCACCTCATGACGAGGGAGCATGGAGCCGGCTTACCGGCCTATCATGAAGCCAGGCGCCACATCAATTACACGGTGGTCGGCTTCCTTATTGACCATGTTTTCTAGTCACGAGGGAGCATGGAGACGCCTTCCCTGCTAATCAGGAAGTTGGGTGGCGAGTCATTACACGACGGCCTGGCTTCCTTAATGGGACTTCCGGTATCGATATTTGGTATCGGTGAGTACCAAAAAAAAAAAATTAGTACTCAATGCTGAAAAACTGGTATCAGTGCATCTCCGAGACCCCGTTCACACTGAGCGGTTTATCGTGCGATATCGCTCTTTGTAGCTTGACCAATGTATTGCAATGGAGCGGTTCACATCTCAATGTCGCTTGTCGATGACCCTTTTTTCTGCGGATGTCACGCGATTCGGCCCCAATAGACTCAATGGTGTCGCACATTACCGGCGATATTGCGCGACATCGCGCTACAGAAGGGTCACTTTTGTTCAGCAATATGGAAGGAAAGAATGATGTCACATCAAGACCGCTGTTGATTGGTTACAGCCCAATGTAGCAGCGACAAAGTCCCTCCTGTGGGAGGAAAAATAGATTGCTCTATTTTATTTCAAAATAACCCCCACGGACTCAAAGATTGTTATAGAAAAAGTCTTCACTCTACTTTATTTTCATGCGCATGGGAGATCAATACAGGCGATGCATGGAGTTGAGCTTGTCCCCCCTCCTGTCAGAATGAGTCTCAACTAAATCTAAGGTGCATAAATCTTTTATAGTTGTTTATGATAATTCACTTCTGGCTGGGTGCTGTCTTCGCGTCATATATCTTGGTCAAGCAAGCTTCAAAGCGTTGATTTGTTAGCGCATCTTAGGCCGTCCTACCTACGCAGTTTCAGCAGTGCAATCTTTTCTTTTGTCCCAGCCAAGGACCTTGAAAAGAACACAGATTAAAAACATGTATATTGCAATTATTTCTAATTCTGAGGCTTCAATACTTTTTAACCCCTTACACTCCCCAAAGTCGCGCTACGTATCGCGACAAAATGCGCATTGTCGCGTAGCTCAATGCCGATCAGCACGCAATCGCGCTGAAAAACGCGCGATTCTCCATGTCGCTCAGTGTGAATGGGGTCTGATTGTCTACAATGTCTTTGTATGATGGAGTAATACCAGAACCTTCACTGGAGACCCCTGAACCCCATCATCTGGAAGGGGGTCCATGTACTTTGGTCATATAGGTTTGTGTGACAGGTGTCGACAACATATGTTGGGTTCACACCACTGTTGGAAATGGAAGCTCATCGTACACTTTATGTACGGCATCCTATTAAATCAAATTTCTCCAGGTTCTGATGTTGGATATTAAGACCTTGATCACATTCCAATTCATCCCAAAGGTGTGCAGTAGGGTTGAGGTCAGGGCTCTGTGCCGGACACTCGAGTTCCTCCACACCAAGCTGGTCACACCATGTCTTTATGGAGCTGGCTTTGTACACAGGGGGGGACAGTCATGGTGGAACAGAAAAGGGTCTTCACCAAACTGTGACCACAAGGCTGGAAGAGCACAATTGTCTACAATGTCTTTGTATGATGGAGGATTACCAGAACCTTCACTGGAGACCCCTGAACGCCAAGATTTGGAGGGAGCTCCTCATACATATGGCCATGTTGGGTTTACCTTATAGGACAGAGATTCTATCTTGATAGCGGATGTGATATGTTGGGTTTATGGCATACTTGACATCACTGGCACCTCTGCCTCCCCCCATTCTCTCCTCGGTATAGTCATTTCTATCCCTGAGCAGTCTCTGTAATTGCAGCAAAGTTCACGTAATCCCCGGACATCAGCGTCGTCGGCTCACAAAGCTCGTTACCTAAACCCGGAGCATTAGTGCTGATGACGTGACAAACATGACCACCTCCTGATGGATCTTCAATGACCTTAAACCTCCCCGTCAGCCGAGTCCATGGAACCGCAAACCCTCACATTGGTTTTTACCTGCTGGGGACACAAATGTTCCTTCTCAGTAAATCCCCCCCAGCTTAAAAACCTCCCAAATTCCAGGCCAAGTATATGTTGGTTCTGTACTGAGTGTACTAACTAGCTCCAGAAGATTTGGACATTGAGGAATTATAATGAATGTCCGGAGATTAGATGAATAGAACTCTATGATGATGGGGATCTCATCACCTCGAACGTGCACAATCCCAGCTATCTTGACGTTCTCTTGGCACATGGGTTCACGCCTGAAGGACTTCTATGGACCGGCCTGTCTCAAACGGGGCTCCTGGCTTTGTGTTTGCCGTGTGCCATGTGTTTCCAGGGTGGGGCCAGCCAACAGCACCACGGAAATGAGTCATGCTGATCCAGGGAGGGTGGGATCAGTTCAGAATGTCCGCCTCCCACCAAATCTGATCTGCCTCCTATGCTCTCCCATGCTGCCACAGCCTGCCCTCTGATCTGATGGTAGAATATGAAGGGGGGCTGGGGACCCTGATATGAAGGGGGGGACCCTGATGTGATGGGGGAGGGGGCTCTGATGTGAAGGGGTGGGGGCTCTGATTGGGGGGGCCCTGATGTGAAGGGGGGGGGGCCCTGATGTGAAGGGGGGGGGGCCCTGATGTGAAGGGGGGGGGGCCCTGATGTGAAGGGGGAGGGCTCTGATGTGAAGGGGGGAGGGCCCTGATTTATACATGACATTCTAGATTGGGGAACCCTCGAGGTTTTTAATGTTAGGGGCACTGGGACTATAAAATGGTTGAGAAAAGCTGATCTAGACATCTCGCAGCCATGACGTGTTTATTGATTTGTCTGTTTTTTCCCCCCACAGTCGGGAAGACGTCTCTGATCACCCGCTTCATGTATGACAGCTTCGATAACACCTACCAGGTGAGCGCCTCTGACCTGACTTTAGCCGACCCCTGATGGGCTTACCTGCTCCTTGATGGGATTATTAGATCCGGGGGATTAGACGGAGCCATGATGTTCTTAGCTGTTCCTTTAATCGGCTGCGGGGTGTCCGGCTCCATTAATCCGCTCAATCTTTTTACTTTATATAACATATGATTTGTCTGTACTCAGCCCGCTAACGTCATGCATGCACCGTGTCTGAACGTTGTGCTTTTCTTTTTTTTTTGTAGGCCACCATTGGTATCGATTTCCTTTCCAAGACTATGTACCTGGAGGATCGCACGGTGAGTCCATACACATTATGGATTTATATATATAAATGACCAATTATTGGGAAATGGGGGCTCAGTCTCATATCCGGTTGAGGGGTGTAGAGAAAAGGAATGCTCATCTTATTCCTGGGTCCCCCGAAAGCCAGCACCCTCTTCGGAATATGGGCAGGCCATGATGACCTCATGTTCAATGCAAGGTCCTGCATTGTATATGATGGTGCCGATGTTCCATCGAAAGCTCCAACTCGTCGAAATCTCCAACTACCTCACTGCCGGGTACTTGCAAGTTGGAGATTTCGACCTGACGGCATTAGACTGCAAAACACAGACTGACGAAGCTCTGTGCAGCTGCATTTTAACAATATTCAGCAGATGGCAAACCGGCGAGTATCCTGAAAATGCTATGCGCGCATGTGCACCGCAACTGTACAGAGCTCCGGTCTTTCTGAGCACCGGAAGTGAGGTAGTTGGAGATTTCGATGAGTTGGAGCTTTCGATAGAACACCGGCAAGGGGGCGGCCACGTGACCAGCAGCTTTGTGGGATTGTTAGCTAATAGCTGCGGTGCTCATGTGCTAGCAAGAGACACGCTGATGGGAGCAGAGAGCAGAATGACACAAAAAATCCCTTATTGGCCTCATATTTATACATCGTAAAGTAAAATAAGATTTAAAGTGACGGTACACAAATAACAATCGGATATGGGGAAGTATCCAATAGAAATAACACGAAGGGGCTCGTTAAATGTAGACATTTGTTACAAGTGTATCTTCTCAGCTCATCTCTTTCTCTGTCCATGTCCTGTCTTCACGTTCCCTCTGTTCCCTCCTCACCAAATCTGCACCTTTTCTCTCCTGCTCTCTTCGGTCTGGTACCAGCAGGTGCGGCTGCAGCTCTGGGACACCGCCGGACAGGAGCGCTTTCGCAGCTTGATCCCCAGCTATATACGCGATTCCACCATAGCAGTGGTGGTGTATGACATCACAAGTGAGTGACCTTCATGCTCTTCTCTCATCCTGCGTTGTAGTTCCTGCGATTAGAACCATCTGAAGTTCCTGAAGGGGAGCCGGGGCTGTGCGCAAGGCGGGGAGCTAAGCTGCTGCTGATTGGAGCTTCTGGGCATGTGTGTGCATGGGGGTGATATGCTGCAGGGGATGTGAATAGCTAGAAATGTGTGTGCAGGGGGATGATATGCTGCAGGGGATGTGGGCAGCTAGAAATGTGTGTGCATGGGGGTGATGTGCTGCAGGGGATGTGAACAGCTTGAAATGGGGGTGATATGCTGCAGGGGATGTGAACAGCTAGAAATGGGGGTGATGTGCTGCAGGGGATGCGAACAGCTAGAAATGTGTGTGCATGGGGGTGATATGCTGCAGGGGATGTGAGCAGCTAGAAGTGTGTGTGCATGGGGGTGATATGCTGCAGGGAATGTGGGCAGCTAGAATTGTGTCAGCATGGGGGTGATGTGCTGCAGGGGATGTGAGCAGCTAGAAGTGTGTGTGCATGGGGGTGATATGCTGCAGGGAATGTGGGCAGCTAGAATTGTGTCAGCATGGGGGTGATGTGCTGCAGGGGATGTGAGCAGCTAGAAGTGTGTGTGCATGGGGGTGATATGCTGCAGGGGATGTGGGCAGCTAGAAATGTGTGTGCATGGGGGGTGATATGCTGCAGGGGATGTGAGCAGCTAGAAATGGGGGTGATATGCTGCAGATTTTGCTTCCAGACCTGCTGAACTTCTGTCCTCCGGACCTATTCGCAGACATTGTCACAGATCGGACAAGCGCACCCCAAATTCAGTGACATGTTGTCTACAAGGGTGGATGGGAAATGTAGTACAGGCGTGGTGGTGTGATGTACTTTACGCCACAGTAAGCCGCGCTTGCTCGCTGATTCCTCTGGGGGGGAGGTTTGCATGGGCCGACTTAAGAGGATTTATTGCCCCGATAGTGACAGTGGGTGAAAAGGATCATGGAATCTTTCACACATGCCAAATTTTT